AACATATATGCACAAATAGTCTGTATTTTAGGCATTTAATTTGCTTATAATTACCCTACTCATCAATTGGTAGCATCTCCACTTCGTAAAAGACATATCATTTGTGCATATTTTTGTTTTTAAGCCATCGTATTAAACATGGATTTTCTTATTGTCAAATGCAACATTTGAAACATGCAAATAAATATTATAAATTAATATATCTACAGTTTAAGTTTATTTTACAAGTACGTATTCTTAAAAAACAACAAAAAAGTACAGGAGCGGCGTACCGATTCACTTCGGTTCCACTACTACTTAGCACACAAGAGAAAAACGAACTTTGATATTTAGGAACAAGAATAGGATTATAGACAAGTTCCGACATAAAAGTGATAAATACTTGACGTTAAGAATTTCCAGGTGATTCTCCATAATTCAGAGGTTTTGTCAAACAGATAAAACGCTTTGACAAAATTTGTAGTAATGCCAGATTTATTACGCCTAACTCTTATTGGGATATTTTAATGGTCTATCTTCTAAATGAATTTATCGTATCCCAAACCTTTTCCCACGTAAGGTTAGGTAGAAAAGGTAGGTTGTGTCTTTGATTCCTTCAAAGTATGTCTTTCCGATACACAATCCGAGAGGTGTCTCTTCACTCTGCAAAAACCTTTGGCAGAATGGAGGAAAGTCAAAATGATTTGTAGGTGAAAACAGATGATCCCAATTGACACTGAGAAGACCTCTGCTAACACGAGCTCTCATCAATATATGCTTCATAGCTTTATGCTTTGGCCACCTACCAAAATAATTGAATTGCAACTAGTCTTTCCGAAACTGCTGATAATATTAGTCAACTTTGTACAGGTCAGCAGAATTCAAAGATTCTGATGAAAAATTGTTATACAGGAGTAACTCATTTCTGTCATGTTAAGACTTCTTAGGATAGCTTGTAGATTGAAATCTAGTTCTCTTGAGGCCTCATGCTAGGTTGATCCCTTAAGTCTTTCCATATGATTGAGTCAAAATGCACGTTACAGACTTTTACAGTTTAATCCAAAATTTCATTGAGCAATTTTATTGTCAATATACGATCAAAATAGTTCATAATTCAGATTTTTATACTATTTAAGCTTTTATTTCTTAATTTCAAAAGAAATGTAAAATACAATCCTCAATCTTCACTTCTCAATGTCTATGATGTGTCTACAGTCAGGATTCTCCCTTATAGATGTTTATATCTTCCCTAATATGGCTTTCAGTGTTCAAGCAATTAGAAACACGAGTTATAAATAAAATAAATCTCAAAATTTAAATCACAGCTTCTTGATTTGCTGAGCTATCAATAAATTGGTCAAACCCGCCAGATAAGTCTCTTCCCTGCCTGTCTTTTTACGCTCTTTGCTTAATAATGCTTTCAAGATTGATGGATATATTTATAACCAATGGAAATAGCATTTCTTCCTCTATAGAAAGCTTAGACAACATTTGTTTAATTTCCCATGTAAAACATTAGTTAATAAAAGTATATGGTTTTGGTGATCATAGTTCTTTGTCCGAGAGTTTACAAGTTTTTATTTTATTTAATAGCCTATTTAAAAAGCCAAATAAATTATAGTGCTTTGGGACATTTTATTCCAGTGCACCATATGTTTTTTGTGATCTAGAATGCAAATTTGAAAGAAACAATTAACTTACTGAGAAAAAGTGAGGCCTGGCATAGTTACAACGTGTGCTCACAAATATCAAGCAACTCGCATACTTTGCAGTTATGGTGTTTAAAACAAATGGTTAACAGGCTATCACATTGATTTATTGCTTTTGGCGGAGGGCAACGATCCAAATTACTGCAATAATGTCATAAAATAAAAAATAAAAAAAGAACTGAGTTGAAATTTGAATATAGGAAAATTGAAAACCTTGAAAAATGATACATTCAAAGAAGAAAAAAAAGGTATTTCAAGTTATTCGACAGCTACAAACTGTTACGGTGTGCTGCAAGGCAGAAGTAGATGTGAGCTTAATAATTCAATTTTGTGACTGGTCAGTTATGATGAAAATGTGGATTGTGAGGTTTCAGTTTTACTTTGAAAA